TCCATCTGCCCCCCGCCGCCCCGCCCTGGCCGGCGAAGGGGCAACTTCGGCTCGCCTCCCGGGGCGGCGAGGGGCAGGGCACGGGCGAGGGGGGATGGGGTGGGCGAAGAATTGGAGACAGAGGGGCAGCATAAGGATGATGAATATCAAAGAGCTCTCGAATCGAGCGGCACGCCGCCCGTCCAAGCGTCGGCCCGTCGGGTGCTCGAGTTGGCCTAGTGCCTTATTCCTCCTCCTCCCCCTCCTCCCCCCCGCCCCCCCCCTCCTCTTCCCCCCCCCCCTCCCGCTCCCCCCCCCTGCTGCCCTTCCACGCCTGCTCAACTTTGGCGCCTCTCCGCGCCCGAGCGTCTCTGACGGGCGATGCTTTCCCTGGCTAGGCTTGCTGAGGACTCGGCGTACTACTACTACTACTACTACTACTACTACTACTACTACTACTACTACTACTACTACTACTACTACTACTATACTATACTACTACTACTACTACTACTACTACTACTACTACTACTACTACTACGCACGCAGATGTTAGGGTTCTTCCTGGGTCCTCGGGGGTCGGATCAGCCAGTTACGTAAACCACGGGACCTGCGTTTTCCGTAGCCGTTTTGGCTCAAGCTCGCTAGTCTGCAAACTTTGGAATGAACGTTAGCTCTGCTCGGCACGATGGACCCTGGTGACGGCGAGGATCTGTTATCGGAAGACGAGCTGGAGCTTGAATTGTTGTGCCTGATTGGCGAGGGTGCTGGGTCGGTGTCTCGTCTGTTGCGCATCGCAAAAGCCATTGTGCGGAACTGCCAAGGCGTCCCCAGTCACGTGTGCGATATTGCCAGGATCGCCCATGGCAGTCACTGCGAGCGGGACCTGCATCGCTGGGTGCAGAGGCAGAATTGGCGCTGCCTGATGCCCGATCTCTTTGAGTTTCGTATTCCTGTTACCTACGACGGCTTGCACCTCGACGAGGCGGTGCATGCGTGTCTTCTTCCCCCTGAGCTGTTCGGCTCTCTGTATACACACGGGCGCGAACTTTGGCAACGCATGTTTACCGGCGGGCCTGGGGAGCTGGCTGAATTTTGGGCTAAATCTCAAACGTCCGATTGGTTTCGGAAACATCCCGTCCGTGAGGTTGGTCACGACCCGTTGCACGCGATACCGTATGGGATCTACGGCGACGACGCTGGCGTTTACCAGAACGAGAAAATCTTAGTTCTCTTGTGGGGGGGCGTTGTGGAGAACCATCCAACTCTCATCAGCAGGCTGCTTTTCACTGCCGTGGCGTACTCCCGCGCAGTTCCTCACATCACGTTGCCTGCAATTTACAAAGTTTGGAAATGGAGTGTAACGTGGTTGGCAATTGGGGAGTACCCCGACGTTGACCATGATGGCCGCAGGTTCGGACCAGGGTATTACCCTGATCGCGCGCGTTTGGCGGGCAATCGGATAGCAGGTGATTTCGTCGGAGTGTTCTCAGAGATGCGCGGTGATTGGAAATATCTGGTCGAATCGTTGCGATTGAAACAACACTATGGTGCCAATGCTTGTTGTCATCTTTGCAGGGCCCACAAACAGCGAGAACGACATTTGTTCACGCAATTTAAGCGTGACTCGGTATTGCGTGGAAGGCTAACGACGCATGAAGAGTTCATGAGGGACGCTGGCCCAGATCGGTGCCCGGTGCTGGAGATAGCAGGTTTTCACGTGTGGAGGGTGTGGGTGGACGCAGCCCACAATCTCGACTTGGGCCAGTACCAATATTCGGCTGCTTCTTGCCTGGCGGAATTGGTGGCTGAAGGCGTCTGGGTGGCAGGTACCATCAGAGAGCGATGGAGGCTAGCTTACGCCGACCACAAGGCGTGGCGCCAAGCCCGCCACCTCGAACCGCCGCCGCGTTTCGATCACAAAAAGATCCATAAACACGCACAGAAACTTGTATTTTCTCAACTTTCTGCGAAAGGTACAAAGATGAGATACATCATGGAATGGTTGCGGGATGTGTGCGCCCGGCCTGGGGTATCCGATACAATGTACAAACAGGTTCGGCACTGCATGTTTCACAACATATGTATTTACGAGCGCATTTACTCGGACCAGGGGCGTTTCTTGGAGCCAGCGGCGCCGGCAGAATCGCAAGAGGCCATGGAACGTTCGCTCGTGTGCCTCAACGCTCTGTGCAACATCAATGTCGCGCGCAATCTTCAATATTACCACATTGTTCCCAAAGCTCACATGTCAAGTCACTTGGCATACGATTTCGCCCCTCAGGCGAACCCGCGCAAAACACAGGCATACACAGACGAAGACATGGTAGGCCGCACGAAAAGAATCATTCAGCGATGCCATGGCGCAACAGCTGGAGTGCGCGGCGTGATGCGCTATGTCATATGTGCAGGCGTTCGCTGGTACAGAGAACTGTTTGCACTGCGTTTCAGGTGAACCCTTCTTGCCGCGTCTCAAAACATATCAAATGCGAGCAGCGTGGACCCCAAACACTGAGTCACAAGACGCGCCACGGGTGTGGCGAACCCTCGAAGGGGCACCCCAATCCCTTTGGAACCTGGCCAAGAAATCATAAGTGCAAGCACTTTTTGGGGAAGGGCGCGCAAAGAGAGATGGGGGTTGGGCGGGGGCAAGAGAAGAGGGAAGGGCGTGCAAAGAGAAGAGGGAAGGGCGTGCAAAGAGAGAGAAGGGCGCGCCGTTGTTGTCGTGCCAGTCCCGGGAGTTTCTTCGCCTCCCCTGGCCGCGCGCCTGCCCTTCCCTGGGCCCTGCCCTGCACTGCTGGCGGAAATTGTAATTTGTTTCTAGAAACATATTTTCCACCCGACGACGACGACGTCGACGACGACGACGACGACGACGACGACGACGACGACGACGACGACCACGACCACGACCGCGACCACGACCACGACCACGACCACGACCACGATCACGATCACGACGACGACGACGACGACGACGACGATGACGACGACGACGACGACGGGATCGAGGAGGAGGACGGAGCTTTCTGGGCCCGCTCCCGCGAGCTTCCTCCTACGGCGGCGCCTCGCGCCGCTGCGCCGCGCCCCCGGGCCCCCCTTCCCCCCCCCCTTCCTCTTCCCCCCCCTCCCTCTCCTCTTCCTCCTCCTCCTCCTCCTCCTTCTGCTCCTCCTCCTCCTCCTCCCCCTCCTCCTCCTCCTCCTCCTCCCCCTCCTCCTCCTCCTCCTCCTCCTCCTCCTCCTCCTTCTCCTCCATTCATTTACCTTATGAATCACTCGTCCCCGTCGCGCCCCGAGGCCAGTCCGAAGGGCGGGCCGAGCGTTGCGCTTGAGACTTGCGTACTCCAGATTTCGCAATAATGGGGGGGGGGGTATCATTTCGGGGGGGGTGGTCTCTTCCAGGCTATCTTGGAGGGCCTGCGGGGTCTGGGGGCGATGCTTTGGAGGGTTCTCCCACGGGGGGGTCTGAAATGGCTTGTCTTGGAGGGTCCAGACCCCCTCCCTTTTATATTAGTAAATCTGGAGTACCAATTTTGTGCTCGAAGTTTAAACATCGGGAGCCGTTTTACAAACGGAGGGCGGGTGGCTTTCGAAATGTGGTTCTCGCCTTAGTGCCGCTCACATTGGTTTCAATATCTTGCAAGGGCTTCACGGATGGAGGGCGGGCGATTTTCAAAATGTGCCCATCGCTCTAGCGCCGCGCACATTTGTTCCAAACTTTTGCAAGCATTTTCACGGATTGGGGGCGGTGCCTTTCGAACATGCGGTTCTCGGTCTAGTGCCGCGCGCATTCGCTTCAACATTCTGCAAGAGCTTCACGGATTGAGGGCGTGTCCTTTTCAGAATGTGGTCCCCGCCTCAACGCCGCTCTGATTCGTTTCGACATGTCGCAAGAGCTTCGCGGATTGAGGGCAGGGCCGCGCGCGTTCGCTTCAAAAGTTGGCAAGGTTTTCATGGGCTCACGGTGAACCAGAAACGGTGTTTCGGAACGGTGCAGGACTGTCAGGGCGCAGCAAGAGGCACGCGTGCCAAGGAGCCCACAATCACGGATGGGCGATGGAGATGGCGCCAACTTGTGATAGTTCCGGGAGAATTACACGTCATCTTTTCTATGTGGACAATGCAGAAAGCCAGCGCGCGCGCGGGTGACCATGGTCACCCGCGCGTGCTGGTGACGCGTGTCGCCGTCGGCCTCCTTAAAGAGCCACAGAAATCTTGAATTCAGTTTTTGGAATTACACGTCATTCTTCTATTGTGGACAATGCTGAAACCAACGCGCACGCGCGCGCGCGCGGGTGACCATGGTCACCCGCGCGCGCGGGTGACACGTGTGACCGTCGGCCTCCTTAAAGAGCCACAGACATTTTGAATTCAGTTTTTGAAATTGCATGTTCACTTTTCTATTGTGGACAATGCAGAAAACCAACGCGCGCGCGTGCGGGTGACGCGCGTGTCGCCGTCGGCCTCCTTAAAGATCCACGGAAATTTTGAATTCAGTTTTTGGAATTACACGTCATTTTTCTATTGTGGACAATGCAGAAAGCCAACGCGCACGCGCGCGCGCGGGTGACCATGGTCACCCGCGCGCGCGGGTGACACGTGTGGCCGTCGGCCTCCTTAAAGATCCACGGAAATTTTGAATTCAATTTTTGGAATTACTGCTGATATGGATCGATGGCATGTTTCTTAAGCCCAAGTGGCTACAGTACTTCAACTCACAATCACGTGCATGTTGCATGGATGTCCGCACGCCTCCTCAGCGCGGCACCCTCGAGGGTGCAAGCTGGCCTTAGCAACTTGCACTCGTCCGTAGCTCCGAACTCGTGGCTCCAGCGCATCATCGGGTGATCAGTCCGATCGACGCTGAAGCGAAAACAGTGTGCTCTGGAACCGCTCCGCCAGAGCACGTTGAAACTAAACGCGTTATACCGGTCTCTCTCTGTTGCTGCCTGCAGCTCTTCTTAAAGCGGGCTGTGGCCTACAGCCTCGCGCCAGCTCCCTCCGTCGCCTGCGGGAGCTTCTCAACCCCACGACACTTCTGGCAGGGGCACGAACCGAGGCTGAGAACGATGCCTCGCATACGTGCAAGGGCCCTGACTGCCCTTCTCCTCGCAGCTCTTGGGTGCTGGCTCCACCTGCACGCCTGTGTCTCGAAGGCATACGGTCACCTCACGGCGCTCCTCGCAGCGCTCCTTCAGCACGTGCCTCTCGATGAGCACGCCCGTCGCAATCCCAATGAAGATCAGGATGACCATCATGAACGCGGTGAGCTGCATGCCACCGCCCTGCGACACGCTCGCGCCTGCCGCGCAGGCGACCTCCACGACCGTACCCTGGGCCCCCGTGCTGGGCTCCATGTACGACGTGCCGTTGGCGGTCCGCGCTGCCGCGAACAGCAGCAGCGTCGCCAAGACCTGGCTGGCCTCGTCCGTCCCGAAGCCAGCGATCTTCCTGCTCACGATCCCGAGGTTCCTCATGCAGGCCTGCAGCGCCTCCTGCTCCAGTGGCTTCGTGCCTGCATCACTCGGGTTCTTCTTGCCGTCCACTCTCTCAACCTCGAACTGCTTCTCCCTCAGCGCCTGCTGGTGCCAAAGGTACCTGGTCTGTAGATGCCGTACACGCCCGCAGCCTACTCTGTGGATCATCCCGCGGGCCGCGTCCGAGTCCGTGCGAATGATCAGCCTCACGTCTGCTGGCACACCAGCTCCGAGCTCAGCGATCTCGAGCATCACCTGCTTGACTGTGATGCCGCGTGCTGCCGCCGAGCCGATGGCGTAGAACTCCGACTCTGCGCTGCTGAGTGCAACAGCGCCCTGCGTGATGCTCCAGCTCTCGATGAGATGACCAGCGCCAGGATCTCCGACCTGGATGGTCCCCGCCGACGTGCTCTTGCATGTCTGTACGTCGCCGCTCCAGTCGCCGTCGGAGTAGACCACGTCCGTCCACTTCTCCTGGTAGAGGAACTCGATCCCGACGTCGTGCGTCCCCGCGAGGTAGCGTGCCAACCTCCTGAGTCGCATCATGCTCAGACGCGTCGGATGTGCCATATCCGACGCCAGCTGCTTGGTGGCGAACTGGATGTCGAAGCGGTCTGGCCCGATGTACATGCAGATGCCCGTGCCCCTGCAGTAGATCGCCTTCTCGGTCCGCTTCAGCTCCTCCAGGGCATCCCTCGCGTTCTTGCCAGTCGCTCGGCTGACAGGCGTCGGGGAAGGCTTTACGTTCTTCAGGTCCAGCAACGTGCTCAGGTTCTCGAAGTGCTTCGGGTCAGGCAGCAGCATGAACCCCTTCGCGTTCCAAAGTAGAAGCCGTCGTAGCACCAGGCCTTGCTCTTCAGCGGCTGGACCAACTCTCGGGAGGATCTTGGCCTTGAAGCTGCCCGTGATCATTGCGTCCACCTTGTCCAGCTCGTGCGGCTCGCCCTCGGTGTAGAAGTCATCCCCGTGGAAGCCTGACAGGCAGTCCCACTCGCTGTGGTACGCCAAGCAGGGGACCGTCGACAAGATGTTCCAGCCGTGCTCTCGGTACGTGTCACGCACCAGCTGCTGGAAGTCCGCGCTCGACTCACGCATCCCGTACAGCGCCTTACTCACCAGCCAGAGCCAGTCGGGGCAGTTCAGCTCCTTCGGAGGCTCGGCCCACACGGGCTCCTTCAGTTCAGCGTGGAAGAAGGCCACCGAGATGTCGTGAGCTGCGAGCTGCCTCGAGTTGCCTCTCGACGCCAACCTCGAGATTACCAGCTTCAGCGCCCATGTCGGTGGTGTCCCCGCGTAGTGCTCTGGCGCAAAGACGCCTCCTGCGAAGTCACGCGCGACGATCCGCGATCGCACGCAGTCTGGCCCCTTCCTGGTGTGGAAGAGCTTGGTGGAGATCACCCTCTCGCCAGCTGGCTTCTCGCTGCGCTTCTTCCAGACCATCACCTCGAACTCGTCCATCTCGTCGAGCTCGCGCTTCACGCCCTGCAGCACCAGCTCCTTCGGCAGCACCTCGCCCGTGAACTGGTCGTGGAAGCTCCCCGCGAACAGCTCCCCGTCGAAGGTTGGAGGTGAGACCTCCTCCTCGCAGAGCGCTCCGAGAGTCATGGGTTCACCGTCTGGGTCAGTGTCCATGGGCGCAGCAGGAACCACCTCGATCACTGGCCTCTTTCTTGCTGGCTCAGCTGCTTCAGCATCTCTCTCTCTCTTCGGTGCTGCGGCTGCTGGCAGTTGTAGTCCTGGAGGTGGACTTATCTCCTGCTGCGGTGCGGGAGCTGCTTGTTGTGGTACTGGCTTCGCAGCCTCGGCGCCTGCGGCACCCACAGCTGGCTGCAGCTGGATCGGCTGCTCCGCCTTCGCCTTGAAGATCTCCTCGAACCGAGCCCTGCACGCCACCGTGTGCACGCTGGACAGCCCCAGACAAGCTGGGCAGTCTGGGCTCTCGCCGTGCTCCTGGATCAGGGCACGCGTGATGTACCTCCTTCTCGTACTCACCACCGGTGTCTCCGTCGTAGGCGCTCTCGGGTTCCAGGGCACACCGACGAACGTCCTGAACTCCTCCTGGACCCACCGCTCGCTGTCGTCGCGCCTCCTGAACGTCCTGCTGAACTCGACCCCTCGCGCCGTGCCCACGATGACCTCATCACTCTCGTCCCTCCGCCCGAGGAACACCCCTGTGGCCCAGCGCGGGTCGAGCTTCGACTGGTCCTTGCGGATCAGCTTGAAGTCCACAGTCTCGCCCACACACGCCAGGGGCGACGCGAACTCCTTGCCCTTGATCGTCGCCCAAGCGCTCCTTCCGTCGCTCTTCGTGACGAACCTCGTGAGGACATAGGCCGCATGCCTGACCAGCCACGGCAGGACCACCGACTGACTCGTCACCTTGGTCTTGAACTTCTCCTCGATGACGGCCACATACGTGCGGGTGAGTGACTCCACTCTACGCACCACGGCCTCGATCACGCCGTTCGCCTTGCTGTCGTGCTTCGTGGACTTCTCGACTGTCGTGCGGTGGTGCTCCACCCGACGTCGGCGTAGCTCGCCCAGCAGTGCCTGGATGGCGGGCTCCTGGTCCGCCCTCAGGACGACCTCTCCAACACCCCATGCCTCGAGGTGGAAGAGTACGAACTCCACTGCAACGTCGTCAACTCCCTTCTTCGACACCTGCGTGGCTCCAACAGCGCCTGGAGGCCTCAGCACGATGACTAGTATCGTCGCCTTCTGCAGCTCGCCCTCCCGCGCTAGGAAGCAGTAGTCCAGCGCGAGCTTCGCGACGGTCGAGACGGATTCCTGACTCCTGTGCTGGTCCTCGGTCGCCTGGCCCGTCAAGCAGTACCTGCACCAGGCACGGAATGGACAGTGAGTGACCTCGTGCTTTGCCCTCTCGTCTGCGCTCGGCCAGACCGCTACCTTCTTGGTGGTCGCGCTCCTGGCCTCCTCGCTGTCCTCGAGCTCTAGCTTGGGCCGTCCGCCAACGTGCTTCGGCTCGTCACTCTTCTCCGTCGTCGGGCACAGCTCGCCAGTCGAGCACCGACGAGCTCGGATGACGAAGATGCCGTTCTTCCGCTTCAGCTCGATGGACTTGCCCTTGCCGATGTTGTCCTTCACGTGGCTCGCCAAGTCCTTCGCCTGCTCGGGCTTCACGATGTAGCTGCCTCCGTCGTACAGCCACACACCGTAGCCCGCATCAACTGCAGAACTCGCTGCCATGATCGGCTTGCGCACCCCTTTGGCCTCGAACTTCACTGTCAGCGGCTCGCCAGAGTTCTGGTCCGTCATGCTCACCTCCTTCTTCCCGTAGTGCTTAAGCTCGTTGCCGTCGGCCTGGTAGAGCACCGTCCCACGGCACTCCTTGATGGCCACCTCGGGCGCCCACGAAGGTGGGCAGACGCTCCTTGCAGCACACGTGTCAAAGAGCAGGTCGAAGTCGGCGCCCTCGAGGGCGCAGCAGTAACCCGTCTCGATCTCGTTGGAGTTCTCGCCCTCCATCAGCGCGAATACGAAGCCATCCTGCTCGTCGTAGTAGTAGCCGTCGTCGGACAGAGCCGTCAACGCCGCCGTGTCGCCATTCTCGCTCCCGAGGCGCTTGCCTGTGATCTTGTCGACTGGCTTGCCTGCGTAGCGTCCCGACTTGTCTGGCTTGATGTCCTTGCTTGCTCGGTCCTTCGCTAAGATCCTGCACTCCTGCTTCGTGTGGTTCGGCTTGGCGCAGTAGAAGCAGACCTTCTTGTTCTTACCCTTTCCGTCGTGGCTCTTTCCCTTGCCGCTCTTGTCCTTGCCTTTGCCTTTGCCGGCCTTGCCCCGTGTCATAGGGCGCAGCTCTCCAGTCACAGGGTTCAACTCCATGGGTACTGGCTCCTCCTCCTGGTTGGCCGTCGCGCGAAGGTATGAGATCACCTCGGCCTTCGCGGCCTCGTACGTCTGCAGGCGGCCTACCTGGAGGTTGACGTGGGTCTTCAGGGGGCCATCCAAGAGCTTGTTGGTCAAAGTCGCCAGCTTGATCGAGTCAGCCATCTGGTCGCCAGACTGCTCCTCGTAGACCTTCAGCTGGCGCTCCCAAGTGTAGATGCTCTCCAACATGTCTGGGCCTCGCACAGGGTCGAGCAGCCTCTGCAGCATGCCCTGGAAGCGGCTCGGCAGCCTGGGCTCGAACTCGCGGCGCAGCTGCCTCCACGCCTCGACGCCCCAGCCCTCTGGGACGCGCTGCACCACCGACAGCGCTCGCCCACGACACGTGAGTGCCAGCACGTAGTAGATCTGCGACGAGAGCTTCCTGTCGTTCAGGTCCATCGTCACATTGCTGATCTGCTGCTCGTCGTCGACCTTGTTGGCTGCATACTCCAGCGCGTCCCTGCAGGTCGGGTCGAACGCGCCAGCGTAGGCCCTGAAGGTGAATGACCACTGCGGCCACGCCAGACCTCCTTCTGGCTTGCCGTCCGCCGTCAGGTCACCTGAAAACAGCGGCGGCTTGCCCAGAGCCCTCGTGTCCACGAGAGAGCTCTCGCCACGGCTAGGCTGCTGAGGCACGGCCGCGGCTCCTGCTGCAGCGGGCGCCGCGGTGCTCAGCTGGTCGATGACCCGTCTGGCCTCGGTGAGCTCGGCCGTCCTCTCTGCGATCTGCTGCTCCGCAGCCGTCAGCCTGGCCTCCATCGCTCGGAGGGCCTCCTCCATGGCCGAGGCGCAGTACGCTGTCACGGTGTCTGCGCTGACCCCTCTCTTCTTGAGGGGCTTGTGCAGCGCAGTGTACAGCAGCACGAGCAGCAGGCTCTGCGGTCAGGGGACCACGCTCCGCGCTACCATGCTGATATGGATCGATGGCATGTTTCTTAAGCCCAAGTGGCTACAGTACTTCAACTCACAATCACGTGCATGTTGCATGGATGTCCGCAATTACATGTAAACTTTTCTATTGTGGACAATGCAGAAAACCAACGCGCGCGCGCGTGCGGGTGACGCGCGTCGCCGTCGGCCCCCTTAGAGAGCCACGGAAATTTTGAATTCAGTTTTTGGAAGTACACGTCATTTTTCTATTGTGAACTGCAGAAAGCCAGCGCGCGCGCGGGTGACCATGGTCACCCGCGCGCGCGGGTGACAAGTGCGACCGTCGGCCTCCTTAAAGAGCCACCGACATTTCGAATTCAGTTTTGGGAATCACATGTCAACTTTTTAATTTAGACAATGCAGAATAAGCCGTCGCGCGCACGCGCGCGCGCGCGGGTGACAATGGTCACCCGCACGTGCGGGTGACATGTTGAGTTATCATCATTCCAGCCAACGGAAACGCGCTACCCGTAGCATAATCGCGCAAATTCAAATAGATATATGAAAATCTTCGGTCGCGCGCCGGCACCAAGTATGCGCAACATGATGGACCCACGAACCCGGAAAGGGATATAGACATGTGGAGCATGGGCACGTTTTCACGAGACCCAACGGGGCAACACCTCACGAAACATCCCACGAGACACCTCACGAAACATCCCACGAGACACCTCACGAAACATTCCGCGAGACACCTCACGAAACATTCCAGGAGACACCCCGCGAAACATTCCACGAGACACCCCACGAAACATTCCACGACGACAGGCAACCACTCAACCAAGGCGGTGTGGTCGTGCTGGGGAGTGGTCGTGCTGGGGTGTGGTCGTGCTGGGGGGTGGTCGTGCTGGGGTGTGGTCGTGCTGGGGGGGTGGTCGTGCTGGGGGGTGGTTGTGCTGGGGCGTGGTCGTGCTGGGGCGTGGTCGTGCTGGGGCGTGGTCGTGCTGGGGTGTGGTCGTGCTGTGGTGAGGTCGTGCTGGGGTGTGGTCGTGCTGGGGTGTGGTCTTGCTAGGGTGTGGTCGTGCTGGGGTGTGGTCGTGCTGGGGTGTGGTCGTGCTGGGGTGTGGTCGTGCTGGGGGGTGGTCGTGCTGGGGCGTGGTCGTGCTGGGGCGTGTCGTGCTGGGGTGTGGTCGTGCTGTGGTGAGGTCGTGCTGGGGTGTGGTCGTGCTGGGGTGTGGTCTTGCTGGGGTAGGGTCGTGCTGGGGCGTGGTCGTGCTGGGGCGTGGTCGTGCTGGGGCGTGGTCGTGCTGGGGAGTGGTCGTGCTGTGGTGAGGTCGTGCTGGAGTGTGGTCGTGCTGGGGTGTGGTCTTGCTGGGGTGGCGCCGTGCTGGGAAACAAGCGTTTCGCTCGAGACATCCTCAAATTTTAATTCGCCGGCTCGTTATTTATCATGGAAAAAATTCGCCGGCAATTCGCCGGCTCGTTATTTATCAGGGAAAAAATTCGCCGGCAATTCGCCGGCTCGTTATTTATCAGGGAAAAATTTCGCCGGCCTCCTTCAAGCAGGCAAAACCGGAGGAACAGGGTTTACCTAGTACAAGAGAACCCTGGGTCTCCGTTCCCTTTCCAAGAACAGCGTTTCCGCTCGAGACATCTAAAAATTTTGCATTCGCCGCTCTCAAAAACAAGCGTTTTTCGCGCTCGAGACAATCCCTCAAATTTTTAATTCGCCGGCTCGTTATTTATCAGGGAAAAAATTCGCCGGCAATTCGCCGGCTCGTTATTTATCAGGGAAAAAATTCGCCGGCAATTCGCCGGCTCGTTATTTATCAGGGAAAAAATTCGCCGGCCTCCTTCAAGCAGGCACCGGGGGACAGGTTTACCTAGTACAAAGAGAACCCTGGGCTCGTGCCCTTTCCGGGAAAAACTGAGCAACTTATGTTACTAGTCGCAAAAAGTGAAAACATTACTTTTTGCATAGAGTTGGGCCCTCCTGGCAGGGCCTCCTCCCTACCAAGCCAGCGGCCGCCGGCTTGGTACCCCGCCGGCTTGGTACCCCTCCAGGGCCTCCTCCCTACCAAGCCAGCGGCCGCCGGCTTGGTACCCCGCCGGCTTGGTACCCTCCAGGGCCTCCTCCCTACCAAGCCAGCGGCCGTCGGCTTGGTACCCCGCCGGCTTGGTACCCCCCCGGGGGCTCCTCCCTACCAAGCCAGCGGCCGCC